TAAATTATTTAAATTATTCCAACTAGAGCACTTAATTCAGACTTTATAAATCAATTATTAAGTATACATAATTCTTTAATGGTAGCCAAAGTTCACCATGCCACTGCAATGTTAAAATTTCTCATCCCCTTATCCCCAAACTGTACTAGTTCAAAGATGGTTTTTTTTTCTAGATAACAGTTTTTTCTAGATAACCGCTAACGTACAAACGAAGCACTGCTCCCTCCACTTTACTTTCCCACCGCCTATTCAGATCTTACAGAACCTGAAACCCCCACCCAACGGTTACTTTTGCTCCAGATTCCACCATTCTTTCTAATCCATAAACACCCTTCTTCACTCTTCACTCCTACTCTGAATATTCCTCCTCCAGAACCCAAATCATGTTCAAAGATCTCACCTTTCCTGTTCTACTGTTGTTTCTCATTCTTCTCAGGATGCCGCGCTCTGGGGCCCAAGCCGCTGGCGGGAGCGTTGTGCAGACGGAGCTATGGTGCGTGGCAAAGAACAACGCGGAGGATGCTGCTCTGCAGGGGGCGTTGGATTGGGCGTGCGGCCCGGGTGGAGCTGACTGTGGATCCATCCAGCAGGGTGGCCCTTGCTATGATCCTTCGGATATCCAGAAAACGGCATCTTATGCCTTCAATGACTATTTCTTGAAGCACGGCATGACCGACGATGCTTGCAACTTCTCCAATACTGCTGCCCTTACTTCTTTAGACCCCAGTAATTTTTTCACTCGTTAATCAAATTAAACCCTTAAAGTTTTGATCTTTAAGCTTAATTCTGAACTTTATGATTAATATATGGTTGATCTTTTTTATTTCAGGTCGTGGTAGTTGTAAATTTCCTTCCAGGTAATGGATCTATGTTCTCTAATAGTTCTCTATTTATTTTGTTGGTAATCCGCAGAAGGCTTTACAATGGGGATGGCCTCCCCTTTCCAAATCCCTCCGGGCTCGTGTAAAGTTTGAGTCAAGGTTCAAACTTGAGACTTCCAACATGAAATCTCAAGTTCTTACTAATTAAGACACTCCCCCGGTGACTTGTGACAGTTTGTTCTTTGTTGTTCATGTGATCGGCATTCCATTTGTTATGGGATAGGGAATTGTTTGTTTCCCTAGAAAATTTTCAGGGGAAAGTTGAATTCCCTGGAAACCTTTTGTTTGAATGTTTCAGTGTCACATTTCTTTGTTCTTCTGATAACTGATTTTGATTTCGATATTAGGCATACAATGACTTAATCTTGATGCATGCCACAAATTCCAAAGTACTATATACTTGGACATTAATCTTGGCGTTAACTTTTTGTTGATGCAAATCATGGGTGCCAAATTCTTGAGTTAATTAAAATGTTTAATTGTTGCATCAGTAAACACAAAATGGATACCTACTCTAGTGTGTAAACAGACCCTTTTCTGCTTTCTCAGATTGGTCTCTGGGTTACCTGAAACAGATGTACTAATATTTTGGACCGAAGCTTAGCAAATACTCTTGTTTCTTCTACTGTTATTTAATTATAGAAATAATATGGATGGTACATTTGATGCTAAGTGTGCTATGAATTTGGTGATGCAGCAAGACAGTGAGCAATGCAAGCATTTCTGGTTCAACTGGATTGAGTCCGGAAAGCACTTATTTTAGTGGCTCTAATGACAGCAGTTTTCTCCCCCCATTCTTGCTCTTAATAACTGGTCATCTTGTATTGGTACTTCTACGGAGGATTTGATCATGGTAAGAGAGGGAAAACATGTTTTAGTTGGCAGAAAGTGAAAATGTAGAAGCCTAAAGCAGAGGCTTTTTGTTGAGAGTATCTTGTGTTTTGATTTCTTTTTTAGATTTTAATGAATTATTTTCGCACAAATGTTATTATTCTTCCCCCACTTGAGGATTTTAAACCAATTTTATTGACTCTCTCGTGGCTTTCACAATCTTTGCTTCCTTTTCCAAAATAACAAATCATGGTTCCTCGTGGTAGATTAAGATATGTGTAGTGTTTGACATTGTTGTATGAATGAAAATATAGTTCGAGGCCGACCAAGAAAAGGTTGCGGAAAGGGAATATGGGATTAGGAGTAGCGGTATTGGAAATCTTTTAGAGTGGTAGGTGTAGTCTATTGAAATTATTTTTATTATATATCACCCGAAAAGTAAGTTACTAATGTGGTTTTGCATAAAAGACCTTCCGCAGATTCTGTGATATTATGTTATAACCTGTTTGGTTTGAAGGAAACTGGGGTACAAGAGAAGAAGAAGCTTTGAATAATAAAAAACATTAAGGGAGAATCTTTATCTAATTTTTTGCTTTTGTTTCCTTTATTCATATTAACATATGAGAGGCTCTTTTCATTTCCCTTCTCTCTACTCCCCTCTATTTCCTTCCAACCAAACAGGTCCTTATGTGAACAAGGTACTCGTCATTTGAGGGGAAAATCAAAGCTACTAAACATTCCCATATGCAACATTAGCTGCTGATCAACAATAAGCCTAGAACTATTGTCTTCACCATAATACCAACAATTAAGGAAGCTAACAAATTTCAAAAGCAAACACACAAAAGTAAAAAGAAAGACTAGGCCCTATAAAAAATGAAAAAAAGAAGAAAGATAAGACAAGCACGCTACAGAATAGAAACTTGACATGGTAAACAAACAATGGACACCAAACGACGACTACATTTACATACCATACAAATTCCAAAGCTTAATATACTAGAAAATTGTTTCTAATTGTTTCTAATCCTAGAAATTAACCCCTTTTTCTTTTATTACTACAAAGGTCGTGTTAGAAACTGCTTTCATCATAGCCTTTGCTTGACCCTCCGTCCATTAGCATCACTTCCATCGAGGATAACTTCATTCCCAGGTTTGCATGCAATTGTTGAATGCTCACTAACTCTAGCAACATACTCCAAGAGCTCAGTCAAGACTGACGGGCAGCTTTCGTTTAAGTACTCGAAACCATCCGTTTGCATAACAGCTGCCAACAAAAAGATGAATTTCAACCCAGAAATAAGATTATCATGCAACACATGGTAAAATCCAAAACATTTTCCTTTTTAAAGCTATAATGATAAGAAGATACAAAGAAGCTGTACAAGGACTTTATCAAATATCTGTAAATTTGGTTGTCAGCTATTCACAATTTCTAACTAATTCACTATCAAAGATAGAGAACCCAGGTCCTCGTCATACTTTGAGCAACTACCATAGAAGTTTTTCCTACACAAGACATTGGCCAGCAGAGAAGGCATGATGACATTGATGCACCCAATATAAAGCAAACATGAAGAGATTCACCTCTCAAATTTTCAGGCATTGCCACGAACTTGAGACAAACAGCTTTCAGCTGGAAACAATGATGCTGCTCTGCCAAGGCTAAGGTGGTTGCCACAGTGTTAATGGCAACATCCTCACAAAGATTGGTCTCACATAGCAATCTGAGCCTGTCTAAGCCATACCTATCTGCTGCTGCAAGGAGATGCTGAGACATCAAAGTAGAGGCCCACTTTGAATTAAAACCGGTAAGCTCTTGCATATCAGGCAGGGAGTCCCAGTATATGAAGTGAAGTAAAGCCTGAAAAGGCCCAAAAGAGGCCAGGGAAAAATTGTGTCAGCAATTCTTACAGTATGCTCTGTTCACAATAAAAGTCAATTCACTATGACTTGTCAGTTAAATAACAGAAAACTTTAAGAAGTCATTTAAGTGTCATATTTTGGTATTGAAAAGGTGATCCACACAAGCTAAAGACTTAACATTTAGCAAATAAGTAGTTAGTGAATTGCCTGACTAACAGATGAACAACAAATGAATGAATCACTAGGCAGCAATGAGATGATATAGAACCTTAAAAACAGGAGCTTCCATGTCTTCAACTTTTATTCTGTGTGTATTTTGATCCTTCATTGGACCAAAAAGTTGTGCCCTAAACACAGGTGAACGAGCAGCAAGTACTAACTTGTGGGCGGGAAAGATTTCGTCATCAACTTCAAAACTCACATCAGTTCCCTTTCCGCTTTCCAGCAATCGCCCAAATTGCTGTCCAATGTTTGAAGGTGGAACTGCTATAGTGTAGATCTTAGGACCCTCTGTATTTGACTTAACAACACCTACACTACAATGAATAGAGAGGCAATCATCTTTGAGGTAGTCTGATTGCTCCAATAAAGTTCTTTTGAAAAACCGTTTATATCCCCTGCAGCATCCAACAATCAAACCACTCGATTCAGAAATTACTATAGTTAAACCACATAACAAATTCATGTAAAACCAATAAATCTTTTGACACAAATAACCCTCCCAAAATCCCAGTGAGCTATTCCTGAAACAGTAAAATTATCCAATAAACTAAAATCAAAGGACAGCTCATTGACAGAACCCTTACCCAACATAACCCCAATTTTATACCAAGGATTTAACATTTCTTCATACCATTTCAATGATATAACTATTATTGAGTTACCAATCACAATTAACCCATAAATCCATATAAATCACTGATGACATTAACCATTTCTGAAACAAAACGAAACAGAATTGCAGTTTCAAACCGGCAAAATAACTGAGCAAGACAACAAAAACAGAGAGATCGCCTTACCACATGCTGCCACGATACTTAAGCGTGTAGGGTCCGCTCTCAAGCGTCCTCCCGAAATGGCTATGGACCTTGTGTCTCTCCTTCCCGCTCTGATCCAAAAGCGTGAGCTCGAACAATGCCCTGACGTCGGTCCCCTCGCTTGCCAACGCGATAAACAGAGAAACATACGCTGCATTATCCTCTGCGCTCTTCCCATCAGGATAAAAGTAGATCGCCCACCCGTACCCACCAACGACGAATGTATCAGACGCTGTGTATTTCCCGATCCCAAGCCCCTTCAAGAGCGAGTAACCGTTGATCTTAAACTGGTGCGACCCATTCACGGTCTCCGTAACCGACGTCGAGGTGGTCGCAGTCGTGCTGGTGGAGGCCGAGGAGGAGGAAGGATTGGAGCTCTCACGTAGAACCTTCCCCATGCCCGAGGAATTCTGCGTTTGAACTAATTTCGGAATTTCACGGGAAAATTGGGGAAATTTTCTCGGGAAAAGGGAGGGCTCAAGTGAGAAAATTCAGGGGTTTTCTCTGTAGATTTCTAGGGTTTCGATTTAGAGAAATTGGGAAAGAATCGAAGATGATGACTTTATGGGTACCTACGTAATAAATAATGAATTTTTGGGGATTTAATTATCTTTCCTCTGAACGCCGATCGGAGAATTATTGGGGGACGGAAAGCGCCGAAGCCTCTTCCATCATGTGTGGATTTAGAAGCTACTCGCTCTATATTGCCGACAGCTGTCCGAATGAACTTTTTGTTTTTTTGCAAAATTAAAGTAAAAGAAAAAGTTGTGTTTACGTAACCTCTGCGAGTGTACTTTTAACATGTAGTAAATATTTTTTTATTTAATTTAAGTAAATTTATTTTAATTTTTAATTTTTTATATAAATTTTAAATAAAAGTTTAATATATTATATAAATAATAATAATTGAAAATTTTCTTATCAAATTATAATACTTAACACACCTAGTCCTCACGACCCAACGACCATAAGTCAACTTATAAGATACATATCCAGTTCGAGGGTTGAGATTTGATTTCCTCCTACTTATAATTGTAACCTTGTTTAAAAAAAAATTATAATACTTAACAAGAA